GCTAGTACAAAAAAAGACTGAGACGCACCTTCTTTTAGTTGGAGGGTAATTCGTTTTTTCTTAGCTATGGCCTTGAGATCTAGGAAGATATCTCTGACCAATTCTCGAAGGTCAAATTTTTTGATGTCCAATTCTGCTTGACCTGATTCTAGCTTAGTGATGACGTCTAGATCTTCTACAATATTCTGAAGTCGTTCAGTATTGTCAGCTGCTCGCTGTAGATAGTCTTTATTGATATTCTCGTCATACAGTCCACCTTCTATGAGGGTATGCAGGTATGCTTGGATAGAGAATATCGGTGTTTTTAACTCATGAGAGATATTGCCTACATAGTTTTTGCGGTATTCTTCTAATGATTTTAAGGTAGCGATTTCTTGTTTGGTGCTTTCTGCCCATTCCATCACTTTGGCATTGACATCAGCGAGACTTTCTGCATTGATGTCTTTGATGGTTTTGTCCTTTTTAGAATCGTAGATGAGTTTGTAGATCAGTTTGATTTTACGAAACACATACTTTTCAAGAAAAAACCTGACAATCAAAAAATTAGTCATCAACATTATTGCTGCCATAATAGTAAATCCTATTTGGCCAAAAAACTGCTCACCTATCCATAATAAGACCACATTGATCACCGTCACCAACACGGTAATCATAATGGTAATTTGCCTTATGGTAATATTCTTATACAAATCTCAGAATCAAAAATCAAATTTATAACCTACACCTTTCATTGTATGAATATAGTTTTCACCTATTTTTTCACGCAACTTTCTGATATGTACATCTATGGTTCTATCTCCCACGATGACATCATTTCCCCATACTTTAGATAGGATTTCTTGTCTTTTGAATACTTTACCAGGCTTTGATGCTAATAATGTAAGTAATTCAAATTCCTTTTTGGCTAGTCCAGTATCAACATTCTTTACGGTCACCTTAAACTGTTCATTGTCGATTTCCATATCACCAAATCGAATGACTTCTTTTTCATTAGAAGCAGATGCACCAGAATGTCTTCTCAACAAGGCACTAATCCTTGATTTAAATACATTGGGTTTGATAGGTTTATTGATAAAATCATCACCACCAGAATCCAATGCTGTGATCTGTGTAAAAGCTTCACTTCTAGCTGTCAAAAAAGCAATGATCGTAGAAGAAAATTTAGGGATGGATCTTAGTTTTTGACAAACTTCTATACCATCCATACCAGGCATCATGATGTCTAAAATAATGAGGTGTGGCTCAAATGAATCAGCAATCTCTAGTCCAGCATTTCCGTCAGAGGCTGTTTTTACTTGATATCCTTCTTTCTCAAGATTGTACTTGAGTACTTCTAGGATATCTTCTTCGTCATCGACGACTAAAATTTTTTCATTCTTGACCATAAAAAATACTTAAGATTTTCAGGCAGCAAAAGTAAAGCAACAAACAAATATACGACAATTGTACATATTATCTTAATGTTAATTTATCGCAGGCTTAACAGTTGTCTGTATTTTAAATGAGTTTTCTTGCATTTTGCGTAAGGTATCCAATGCTCTACTCTGCAGTACCAATAAACTATCTGGCAACTGAAGCAAGGTTTCAAAATCAGTTTTGATATCTGAGATAGGTCTTCCTACTATTTTTGCTACATCTTCATAGTACTTTTCTTTGGTACTATCTTGGTATGAAATATCATTAAGATTCCAAGCCGCATTAGCTGTGTACATTTGCACCATAGCATGGACTATCTCATCATCTGTCATGATCAGTTTGCTATCCACTTTTTTGGGCGAGCAAGAAAACGCTATACTCAAAAAGGTAAGTAAAATTAAGGCAATGAAGCTCTTATTTGATGTGTTAATCACGATTATCTTTATTAGGATACATTAATTCTACCAAGTTCATTTTTTTCCAATTTGCTTCAGCCCAAGTCCCTGTAGGATAAGTCGCTATGATGATACCACACGTGGGAATATTGTCCGTACAACCAGGTTTTATAAGATTAGCCACGTAAGTGATTCCTGGATTATGTCCAAAAAAAGCAGCACACGATATCGATTCATCGAGACCTGACATTACATCTATATAGTCTTCAGGAGATCCATGGTATAAGTTAGGATACAAGTCAATAGGAAGATTATTTAATTTACTGAAATATTGCGCTGTTTCTTTAGCACGAGCAGCATTGCTAGAACAAAGTTTCTGTGGCAAATAACCTAAATTCTTAAGTCGTTCTGCCATCAAAGGCGCGTCATGAAGCCCACGAGTATCTAAAGGTCTCTCAAAGTCTGAAAGGCTGAAATCTGACCAAGACGATTTTGCATGTCTGATAATAATTACTTGTTTCAAATGTCTAGAATTGTTTTTAGTTGAAATATTTATTTTGTAATAACAACAAAATAGCAGAACAAAGATAATTGCTTTTGGGAATAGTTTCTATAGTTTGTGGTCAACAATCATTTGATGTTGGCGAAATAGTCATTATTTTAAAGATAACTACTACTTAAGTGTGTATTACAATATGCACATAATGGAAGTAATACTTTGGTTTAGGGTTACTTATTTTCTTCATTGGTAGTCTCACCGCCTTTTTGTCTTTAGTTTAAAAGTCATTGGAGACGGTACAAACAAAAAACTGTTTGAGCCAAAGCAATGGAAATATCAATGAACAAATTTTAAATAATTGAATCAATAAATCAAAGAAAGGTTCTTAAAGGCGAGTTTTTTTTGTTTCCGTCGGGAAGATGACTTTTAAGCGTTAAGAAGACAAAACAGCGGCGGCATTTTTTTTTACTTTTTTTTTGCTGAAGAAAAAAAGTAAAAGCCTTGCCGGCTCGAGGCATATGGGTAATTAAAACCGTATTTATTGATTAACCACCAATAATTATTAAAATACAAAAAAGTGTAATTTGTTAAAAACAAAACCTACTTAATCCTAATAAATTTCAGCGTTTCTGAATAGTTACCTTGTACTAATTTTAAGAAATAAATGCCAGGCATCAAATGATCTTCTAACGAGATAGATAGTTCTTGGTCTACTCCTATTTCTAGGTTGACATTAGATGATAACATGGATTTACCTTCTGCATTAAATATTGTATAATTTAGTACATCGGAATCAGCCGTACTGTATTTTAGTACCAATTGTGATGAAACAGGATTTGTCATCAATCTGAATGAAGTTTGGCCTACAACTTCTTTTTGACGAATAACAAGACTTATGTTGTTTGCTTGCAAATCAGTAAATATTGCAGACATTTTACCACTTTCTTTGTCCAATGATTTAAGATCCAATTTATCGTGCGCTATATCGAAACGAGCAATGACATCACCCACTTTTAATAGCTTTTGATAAGGACTGTAAGCTACCATCCGGACATGATCTCCTTGTATAAAGACTTCAGAATCGTCAAAAATATCATTACCCTTTGCATAATTTGAGATCAATTGTTCTGCATTTGGATAAGTTAAAAACAGTTGTAGCCCTTCTGTCGGAACTTCATTTCCTGCTCTTAGTACCAATTGCTCTACCCCATCCATAACTTCTTTAGATACAATGATTTCTTTGTTTATATTTCTGTTTTCTACATGTTCATCCGTTTGAACCTGACCTGTGGCAGTACCATTAACGTCACCTATCTTTACAGCTATAAAATCCAAACTGTCTACATCAGAAGCTAGGTTATTTACGACAATAGTACTATTGTAATTGTATGGTGAATTATTCGATGTAAAAGTAAAATCCTTTGGTACAAATACCCATGAAGGCAAGTTATTCGGAAACGAAACTTTAATCCCCAAAATCAATTTACGAAGTTCCACTAAGTCTATTGCACTCACACTTTTACTAGAATTAATATCTGCAGCTATGAGTTTGTATGGATTGTCAAATGGTGCAATAGCAAGAATATGTCTTTGTATCAAAACTAGATCTGTAGTCGTCACACCATCTAATGGATTAATATTGAGCGTTGGTTTTATCTCATATTCCCTTCCCAAAGGCAATGAATCGACAGTATATAAACCTTGATTATTAATGACTTTTACCTTATTATTCTCCACGCTGATTACGGTGACAGTTGTGCCAATAGGAATTTTATTATTTAAGCTGACTATTCTACCACTGACACTCCCGTTTGTGATCAAGTCGGGACATAAATTGGCATTATCTTGAAGGATTAATTCTACAGGACAAAAATCTTGATTGCCACTTTCGTCCGTTACAGTCATATCTAACATGATAGATTGGCTGACACCATCAGGAATATCTGCACAATCAAATAATAATCCAGCACTTTTTGTACTTGGGATCCACACTTGTGCCAATCCAAGGTTATATTGAGCAAGTGTAGATATTTGACCCTGACCTATAAAATAATGTTGTTCATTTATCTTGGTCAAAACAGGTAAAGCATCATCAAAAGTAAACCACAAATCAGAAGTATCTGTACAGTTGTCATAACTTCCTAAATCAAAATCTTTTGCCCAAACTTCTATCATTCCATTAGGCTGCATCAATGGCAATGTAATCGATGAGATACAATATGGAGATGGGTTTTTACAATCTACAATCGTCACTTTTTGGGTACAAATAGAAAAATTACCACATTGATCACTCAATCTCCATGTAACGGTATGACTTCCATATGGTAAATCATGTTTAAGACGTGCGGTATTTCCATTTATGTCTACACTTCCATTACGATTTATATCTATAGTGTATGACCAGATCAAATCTGTGACATCCGTACAAGAATCTACACCTGTCATCGTCAAATCTACATTTCCAAATTGACAATCTGTATCGTATGAACAAATCGTAGTATCTCTACAAATACTCGTAAATTGTGGTTTGTCGGTATTATGCAACTTTATAATCTGAACATATGGTCCCCATTTTCCGATGGTATTAGATCCATTAAACTGACACCAATCGACGACGGTCCACGTTCTTAGTATTTTTAAACAAGCGCCATCTGCAATATAAAATGGTGCATCCTCATATGTTGCGGAAATAGTACCACATTGACTATTGGTAAAAGTAGGCATACCCGTAGTTTCAGGCAGCGTTTGTGATGATTTACATCCATCTGCTTGATAATGTGCTGGCCAAGTGATATTACTTTCATCAAAAGGATCAGGATTTAAAATAGTAATAATCTGTGTACAAGAATCTTTGCGTCCTCCACCGTCCGTTGCAATAAATATCCTTCTGATCTGTCCTGTAAAACAATGAATATCTAACTCGTATCGTTGACTAACGCTAACTATACAATTGTCTGAAGCTAGCCCATCTTGACCTACGATACCATTGTGATAAAAATTATTTACCACGACATTTTTTCTATCTGAAGCTTTGGTCACCACTTTGCCGAAATCATCTAGATGGTTGACATCATAAAAATCGGTACAAGCGAGTGTTATATTTGGAGGACAAGTGATTGATGGTTTAATTTTGTCTTCTACAGTAACTTCAACCATACAAGTATTTTTGTTACCATAGATATCAGTCACTTGAAAGGCCACCATTTGTTTGGTACCTAATTCTGCACAACAAAAATCTACATAATCACCAAATGCAGTGTTATTGCCACAGACATCGACCATCTTTCTGACTTTAAAGTTTAAAATGGCACAATTATCAGTACTTCCATTATCAAAAGTAAATGCAAAAACCCGAGCAAATCCATTATTGTCCAAAGATGTTTTTGTAAATTGATTACAAACTGCATTGGGTGTAGCTCTATCTACTACTTTTATTGGAATCCTACACGTGGATGTGTTATTACAAGCATCTGTGACCACATACTCCAAACTAAACTGACCTACAGGTAATTTATTGAAGAATGGACCTTGACCGTTCACAAGGATAAACTGATTGGCGAGACCTCCATTGTTAGCATACAAATTATATGCAATTCCATAAGATGAACAATCAAATACATCCACAGGAGACTGGATGGCTACTAGATCTGTAGCACATATATATGGTGACGACTGCAATACAATACTGTCACGACATATTAACTCAGGACCTTTGCTATCTTTTACTAAGATGATTTGATTTCTAGTAATACTCTCAGAAGTACACCACTCGATGACAAACCAAGAACGTACGATTTTGAAACTTTGTCCACATAGTTCAAATTTAGTATCCGTCATTTGGTATTCTAGGTTACCACATGTATTAATAATGGGTACACCTGTAGTATCTGGAGATGGATGACCATTGGCGAGTATTGGAAAAGTGTCTCTACATTCAAATGCAGGGCCTTGGTGATCATCATAATTTCTTGGAAAGACAACATTATTTAGTGGAAGCCTTTTTATTACAATCAACTCTGTACACAAACTAACATTACCTTTTGCATCTGTAGCTTTCCACTTTCGGGTGATGGTTTTGTCTTCATCTCTAGCACAATTTGCCTTAATTAATTGGTCAGTATATTCAAGAATGACGTCGCTACAAGCATCCCAGTTTTTGACTGTATATTTTTTATTAATTATGGTATCTATATAAGCAGTTGCAGGGAATGGGAAACCCAAAGAATCTGGCTCTGAAGACTTCAAACAAGAAATCGTATCATTTCTACAAATAAACTGTGGTGGATAATAATCTTCCACTTTAAACTTTCCCCAACAAGTGACTTGTGTACATCTATGACCTATTTTAAATGAAATTTCTTGGTCTAGATGTTGCCTTCTAAGTATATTATCAGGAATCAATGCACCAGATTGGTCATGCAACGTGATGATATAATTAGTATAAGGAATCTGTGGATTCGACTGCAACATGGTGATGCTGACAGGTTGAATACACTGCTCGTTTAAAGAGATATTGAGATTATTGTTACAGAAAATCGGTGGCGCAGGTTGGAAAAATATACGCACTTCATCTGTGACTTTTGCTTGTGGATTATTGACAGGCGCGTCTGAAATAAGCATTAAAGAATAGGAACCCAATATTTTGTCGTTTGGTCCGGGAATATAAGTTGGATTTGCAGAAAAACGAATGGTAGAAACATTTCCTGGCATAAACTTACCATCTCCTAGTGTAATCCAATCTCCATCAGATACATCACCAGAAATAGTAGCATTTAGGACGGACATATTTAGGTTTTCATTCAGACAAATGTAAGTGTCAGTCCCAGCGAATACATTTATAGCAGCAGGTGGTTGGAGATTAATTNAGAGCGACAACAGATAAGGTCAAAGATGATATTTTATTTAAGGTTTTCAAATTATATTAGCATTTTTTGTAAGATATTATTACCTTTAAATACATTATATACATATTACAACTTTTTGTAATGCAAAAATGATACCAAATTTAAAACCTGAACATAGAATATCTATAAATTGAAATATAATAATTTGATTACCAATTTATTAATTTAAAATCATGATAAATTCAAAGTAGTCCACTATTGGTCTGAACAGTTGTAAATATCACTACCCTATTAAAAAAAATTGCATTTCGAAATAAAATAAACCTTTTGACAAAAATTTAAGGCCAAATCATTTGAAAAATTATTAATAGTCGTACATTTATCTCTCAATAGCCATGGTTGCCACATAATACATGGTCAATATTTATTTATTTTTAACTCAACAAACATCTTTCACATGAGGACATTCTTTACAATTATTACCTGTTTATTTTTGGGTTTAAACCTTAGCGTTGCCCAAGTTAGTTTTTCTGATAATTTTGATTCTTACACAGATGGCGCTTTTTTAGCATCATCTTCCAATAAATGGACGACATGGGGAAATGCTCCGGGCACTGCAGAAGATGCAAAACTCAGTAGCGAGCAAGCTAAAAGTGGTACTTTAAGTGCTAAAATATTTAGTACTGCCACAGCAGGAGGACCTATGGACTTAGTGCTTCCATTTGGAGGTAGATATTCATCTGGTGGGTTTAATTATAAAATGAGTTTATTTGTCCCTTCTGGCAAAAATGCATACTTTAACTATCAAGCAACTGGTACGGTTGGTCAAACTTGGGCTCTTGATGTAAATCTAAATGAAGATGGAAGCGCAATCTTCACGAATGGTGCAACAGTTTTGCTTAGCACAGTTCACAAAAAGGATGCTTGGTTTGATCTTGAAATGGAAATAAACTTTGGATCAAATGTATGGATAGTAAAAATCGATGGTCAATGCGTAGGATCTTTTTCTAATCCAACAAACAGTATAGGTTCTATCAACTTTTACCCTAGAAATAATAAATCGCTATATTATGTAGATGATGTTTCTTTTGATTATGATCCAGCTACAAAACCTTTCCAATTGGATGCGGGTGTAACTGATTTTGTATGGAGCAGTGGGAAATTAGCAGGAATGAAAGATGAGCCTATTTTCTCTATCAGAAATAATGGTGCATTGAAGCTTACATCTGCTACATTAAATGTACAGATAGGTTCAGAAAACATTCCAATAGAATTAGAAGAAATGGATCTTGCCAAGGGTCAAACAGAAGTCATATATCTTCCAGAAGTAATTCTTAAAGGCGGTAAAAATGAAATCATCATCACACTTAGCAAAATAAATGGCGAAACAACTGATGAAAATGCATGCAACAATATCAGCGTATTTTCTATAAACGGCGTAGTACCTGCACCTAGTAGAGCAGTACTAGTAGAAGAAGGAACAGGTACATGGTGTGTGTGGTGCCCAAGAGGTGCTGTATTTATGGACAAACTTAGTGCTGTGTATAAAGGGTTATTTATTCCTATCGCAGTCCACAATGGCTCTACAGACCCGATGCTAGTACCTGAATATAATACATTTATGGCTTTCCCTGCTTTCCCAAATAGCAAAGTGAATAGAGGTTATTTAGGAGATCCATCAGGATTAGAAGATCCATTCCTTACTGAAATTGCCAAACCAGCGGCAGCTCAGTTTTTAGTAGGCAGTAAATACACTGAAAGTACAAAGACTTTAGATGTCTCTGTAGAAGTTGATTTTCTTGATGCAGCAACTGGAAGCCACTTTGTTTCATTAGTCTTAGTAGAAGATGATGTGAGAGGAACAACTGCTGGTTATAACCAAGCAAATGCTTATGCAGGTGGAGGCAATGGTGCCATGGGAGGATTCGAATTACTATCTAATCCAGTACCAGCATCACTAATGGTTTATGACCATGTAGCTAGAGCAGTTTCAGGATTGACAAGCAATACAAACAATTCATTTACAGGAAATTATACTCCTGGAGACAAAGTAGTTAAAACATTCAGTTTTGTATTGGGTGATACATGGAAAACTGAAAACATGCATATTGTTCCGATCCTTCTGAAAGGAAACACTTATGTAAATGCTGCAACTGTTACTGTAGATGAAGCATTAGCTAATGGATTCATAAGTAGTGCAGATAATATCATTTTGTCAGCAAATGATGTAAAAGTATATCCGAACCCTTCTAACACAACGACAAACATTGATCTTTCGTTAGCAAAACCTTCACAAGTGGAAGTTCAAATATTGACACTTGCAGGTAGTACTATCAGTCAAAAAGATTATGGTACGCTATCAGGTGATGTAACATTACCTATCAATCTTTTCCTAATGAATAGTGGTATTTATCTTGTAAAAGTAAAAACAGACGCTGGTACAAGAATAGAAAAGTTGATTGTTGAATAATTAAACAATCAATAACTGTATTTAAAAAGAGAAGTTATCAATGAAGGTAGCTTCTCTTTTTTTATTGTAGCCAAAGCTTCTAGCTTTGGGATTTCCCCTTTTGTTATTAGATCTTTTTTTAATGCCATCCCTTCGGGATTCTGATTAGTGTTTTGTTTTTTTTTGGATGTGGCCAAAGCTTCTAACTTTTACATTTTCTCAATTGTTAATATACTTGACTTTGACAGCATATGACTTAAAGGTAAAAGATTGATATAATAATACTTACGTCCAAATTCGGTCAAGAAAATCATTATATTATCTTCCAATAGATATAGACTTTTTAGACATCAGAGACTTAAAAAAACCAGAGATGAATATGGACGAATCTCCAGCTCTTGAAGAGACATCAAAAGCACTTAAAGAAATACGCCAGATTAACTTCAATCATTACAAAAAGTTACAAAATAACTATTTTACCATGTTTTCCGATTATTCCAGCAGAGGTAATGGTGAAATAATGCATACCCTTTGTCATAAATCGATACTTTAAGTCAATATTACTTCCTTCAAGAGATATCTTGTCTATCAACTGACCTGTGCTGTTGTAAATATTCAATTCGTGGGCATTGCGGCTATTCAGATGACCTCTAAAGTGGACCAACTCTGAAGCAGGATTTGGGTAATATTGAAATAAATCATGTTGTGCACCTTGATTCTCTGTAGCGGAAATATTGGAACAATTGCCCGGAATATTTTTGTCTAGCCAGCCTATCCGAGTAGATATCCATGCCTTAAGCGTATCCAATTCTGCAGCATAAGTTGTTGCAATCGAACCAATCTCAGGAGCTGGTCCACTCATCCCTAAAATCCGCCATCTATCAAAATGCCGTATATGCGCATTGATCACTAATTGATGCACACTGTCTATATAATTAAATAAATAAGCGGTATCCAAAATATTTTTTCTGTATTCTTCATAAGTACATCTAAGCTCATTGGCAAATGCAGTATCCTGCAACATCCTTATATACCAACCTGTGGAATAATTGTCTGTCGGACAATCATTATTGAGATGCGCCCATCCTTCACCATTAGTATTATCATACAAATCGCAGATACCCAAATTCTTCCATGCCCAATCAAAATCCCACACGGGTCCTGCTTTCAGCTTATTGCCCTTAGAATATCTATCTTTATTATAAAAAATACTTTTCTTAAAACCATCTGCATTTCTAGACAGTTCGTTGACCAGAAAATAATCAATAAAAGAAGGGATATCTAGAAATCTTCTATAACCTTGAGCTGTGTCTTCAAATTGTTCACTATACAAACGTGTCTCAAGACTATCTATAAATCCTGCTATATATGTTTTTTGCTCAGGCTTAATGGTCTCTGCATCTGGATACTCATACAAGAAATGTACATCAAAACCTGGGTGATCAATAGGCGAGAAATTGGATTGAAAACTATTATTTTCGCCTCTGATATTTTGCTCCAAAATATATCCGCCAGTCAGTTTGTCACCATCCAAGTCTTCAGGATCGAGTTTAGCTATATTTACCCTGTTTTTATCTCTTTTAATCTTCTCTGAAAATATATAAATACCCTTATATGTGCTATCTATTAATACTTCGCAAATCCTGGTGGTTGGGCTATAGTTCCCCATCTTATTGAAGAGGTGATGAGACAATGTATTTCTGATCAGGGATCTATCATTAAAGTTTGAGAGAAGTATCCAGTCATTTTCTTCAGGCATACCCAACAATGATACGTCTTTATTCTCGCCATTCTCTTCTCTTGTCTCGATACTGTATGGCGCTTGAGGATAGCCCGATGAACTTGCTCCACGAATATTAATGCCTGCGTCCCCATCATAATGGATCAGTCCATCTGCAAGCACACTCATTTTTACATTGATTTTGCCATCATAGGGAATATTCTGACCTAAAGTATTAATAGATATAACAGGCAATTCCGAACCATCTAGTATGACACGACCTAAATCCTTCCATTGAACGTTAAACTGCGTTTTCTCTTCATTTCTACCCCATATTTGAACATATACCATTTGTCCCGCTGGAATATCATAGATTTTAAGGGACGATTTTTTCTCACCATTATCAGTATTTCCACATGCCATCATTTGGATACCGGTGCAACTATTACCTTGCCAAACTGCATAACCAGCAACAATATCATTAAGTTGATGAATGCTGATTTCCATATTGCCTGATCTAGGTATCTCGGTGACATACCATAAGTCTCCACCCAAAAAATCAGGACAGTTGGCTGGTCTGATACCTGAACCAGCAAAATCCAAGTTGTTACCTTCCTTGTCTTCATTCAAAACTAGCGGCAGAGCCACGCACGGATGTTTGCCTGGTATGGCTACATCATTACAATTTCCCGACATGGATATGACATCACCTACAATGGGATTAGGACCATCTTGAAAAAAAATATTCCAACCCGCGTCATAGATCTGATATGTATTTTCATTCTCATATTCTCCTGGAGTGTAGTTAAGTCGAATAACATCATTTTCGCAAACTTCAAATGATTCACTACTTCCAAAACCTTGTCCATAAAATTTACCCTCTAGTGTATCGTTTATATACACTTCCAAAAACCCACCATTCCAACTATCTCCATAACTATCCTGCATGGTAAGTGTATAAGTACAACATTGTGCCGAAGCCTGATGGGAAAACAACATCACTAAAAAAATGATGGCAATCTTTAGGCTGTATAGGAGTGCGAACATAAAGTGCGAAAAAGGATTTGTCATTAAGTGGAATTGAATATCAATTTATAAGAATGACAAAAGTAGTACAACCATTCAAGATCTTTCACAAGTTTTTAAGACTTATTTGAATAATCTTCAAAATAGTTTAAAATAAACTAAGTTAGGCTTGACTGGAAATTGTTAAATGCCTAGTGAAATATTAAATACTTGAATCCAGCCTGAAAAGTCTTTAATAAAAATTTGAACTCTTAGGATAAAACACCGTTTGTACAAGATGTAACCAAATGATTATGCAAAACCGAAAAATTGTATTGGCCATAGGAGGATCTAGTGGGTCTATATACGCACAAAGATTGATGACAAAACTTGCCAAAATAGGTAGTGAACTCACTGTCGGAGTTTTGATGTCTGACAACGCTATTATAAATTGGGAAATCGAAATCGGACCTTTCGATAAAAAGGATTGGCCATTTACATTCTATAGTAAAAACGATTTTAATGCACCATTTGCATCAGGATCAGCACGATATGATACTATGATTGTGTGTCCGTGCTCTATGGGACTGTTAGGTAGGATCAGTGCAGGACTTTCGGATGATTTGACAACGAGGGCCGCAGATGTTATCTTAAAAGAAAGACGCAAACTTATCATCGTACCACGTGAAACACCTTACAATCTAATCCATCTCAAAAACATGCTGAGCCTCACAGAAGCCAGTGCAATCATTTGCCCTGCTACACCGTCCTTTTACAGCAGACCTCAGACCGTTGAAGAAATAGCAGATACGGTGGTAGACAGAGTTATGGATTTAGCTGGACTACACATCGACCAAACTTATAGATGGGGAGAATAAGCGGTTATAACTCGTAGATTACTAAAGATTTACATCATTTTCTTGAGCCATTTCCTTTTGCTTTTTTAAATATCTCGAAGTTTTATGAACAGCAATACTTGCATTCAACTCAAAACCTATGAGTAGGATCAAACAGTTAAATTGTATCCAGACCATCATGACTATTAAGGCACCTATAGAACCATAGATTTCATTGTATCTACCAAAATTATTGATAAAATAACTAAAACCTAATGATGTCAATAATGACAAAAAAGTAGCCAACAATGATCCTACATTAATAAAAGGAATACGTCTATACATAGATGGGCCATAGGTGTAGGTAATACTTATCCCTGTGTAAACCATAAATACAGCAAACAACCAATTAAAAATACTTACAGAAATCAACAATGAATCAGCAATCAATAACTCTGTCTTCAAGTATTCGATCACTTTGCTTTCTACTACCATCATAATCAGGGAAACAATGAGCAATAATGACAATACAATTGTTAAAGCCAAGGCTATCAATCGAGTTTTTATCCAATGTCTAGGTTTGAAAGTTTGATGGTATGCTTTATCAAATCCAGACATCAAAGTCAACATACCATTAGAAGAAAAGAATAAAGCTAATATCGCACCCAATGATAATAAACCATCTCTTTTGATAGAAGTAATATCAGTAATTATAGAAAAAATATAATCATGCGCGCTCTGCGGAATGACTCCTTGTAACTGGTCACTAAGCATAGCCGTATAATCCTGAACTATAGTAAACAAAGGTAGTAAAGTGAATAAAAATATGATGGCTGGAAATATGGACATGAATAAGCTAAAAGCAATAGAGTTTGCCCTAGTGCTGATACTATCTTTTTGAATTTCTTCAATAACAAATGTGACAACCTCATAAATCGTCATACCCGAAAAGCCTGCAGGACTGTAAACCTTAGACCAAGCTATTGTTTTTTGGACAAAAGGCAGGTCATAAAATTGTTGTTTTAGACTTTTTTTTCTTACGATCAAAACAATGGTCTTAATTTTTCTAACATATATTCAGGACAAGATATTTTTTTTAGTGAGTCCATATCTACAAACATCAGTTTGACTTCTGCTTTGTGAATCAGGATAGACTGCTCATTGTATATTTCATTGGTAAATACAATCAATCTCGATGGCAACTCATTTAAAATGGTCCGAATAGTAAGTGCTTCATCGTATTTTGCAGGCAAGATATACCTTGCGTCTACATGTACCACAGGCATCATTACTCTATATTTTTCTTCTAGATCTTTGTAAAGCAAACCAAGATTTCTCATGGTCTCTACCCTACCGATTTCATACAACTGTGGATAATTGCCATAATAAAGATATCCCATCATATCTGTCTCTCCATATCTCACCCGTTTTACAAAATCAAAGCTCACCATAATAATATGTTTAGATTGGAAGTCGCTCCAATGGACATGTCATACAATGTGAACCACCACGCGCTCTCGAAAGTTCATTAGAAGGCAATGTAATGATGGTTTTTTGGATGCTTTGTGGGTCTAGAATTCCTTCATTTACTTGTGAGATCATATCACGTGCATGAATGATAGAATAACCAGCTTCTTTAAGTGCAATTTCAGTTTTTGGATTACGATCATAAGTCAAGGCAACTCCAGGCTTTAAAGCTACAAGATTACATCCATCTGTCCACTGTTCGCGTTCTTGATAAGGTGAAGCGCCTTCTCCAGCAAAAATAAAATTTACCTTTGGATTTATTTCATGTAGAAAGAAGTTCTTAACAGAATCATACACTATTTCAGCGCCATTTTTGCGATATACTTTCACATTAGAACTCACACCATCAAAAATGATAGGTTTAAAACAAACAATATCATTATGATCGATTAATGTAAACAAAGTATCAATATGCATACATGTACGATCTGAAGGAATATTTATTTGGGCGACATTAGAAACCAATCCCTTTTCAAATAATACCTTTTTTACACATTGGATAGCATAATCTGTAGTTCTCTCCGAGCAACCTATCAGCACGAAATCGTCATTGAGCATCATGACATCACCACCTTCCATAGATACCACTTCTCCTTTTTTGGATGGTGGAAATTTATCTAAATGGTTAAGATTAATGATTTTACCTTGAGCATTCAATGTCTTAAATAATGGATGCGCATAAAAGATAAACCTTGTCAATAAATTTTCTCTATACCTAGCAGATTTAGCCGCTTTTGTGATAATGATGTGGTCTTTTATGACAACTGCAATATCTCGAGTGAATATAAAATTGGGTATTGGGTCAAAATATATATGGTCTTCATCTTGATAATAACCTGTAATGAGAAGTTTGGTCAGGGCAGAAGCTCCAAGCGACATAAAAAAGTCTTTATCTGTCGGTGGTAATTCCTCGTAATCTACTATTTTATCTATCAATTCTTCTTTGACATCAGGGCTTGCTTCAAATCCTTCCTCAATCAATCGCTGTGTATCAAGAACATTTTCTTTTCCCAATATATGCTGTAGAACTCTTCTAAAAATATCATGTTCTTCTCTCATTTGAGGGAGATGCACAATATCGTCAAAGAGCAATTCTTCTGCTTTTTTGGGTGAAATTCTAGCTATACCTTCGTCAGGTCTGTGAATGATAACTTTTTTAAGTGTGCCTATTTCTGAGTTTACATTAAGCATACAATCTTTTGGTTTGGTTTCGGATGCGAAGGTAATCAAAAGAAATCAAAGACAAATAATCAAGATCATTTTCCCTGTTGAAAATAGCAATTTTTAATGTAAAATACAAGATGACAAAACGGCGTATGTGTTAATTTATTTATTCTCTTAATTAATACATCCCAAATTCCTTTGGGAGGAATGGCTTTTAAAATCAAGTAAATACTTAAAACCATAAATAAAGAAAGCTAAGCAATGACGCTTAGCTTAACTTAAATATTTTAGCAATTTGAAATTACAAATTATATTTTGGAGACTAGCTACCCTTTATTTTGAAGACCATAATACCACATTGAGAGTCATATTTTCCAGCGGCAAATTCAAATTCCTTTGCTTTTCTAATAGCTAATGAAACTAGACTTTTTTTGGCAATACTTGACATTGAGCCATTAAATTCAGCTTTTGTTACTGTTCCTGTTTTATTAACACAAATATTAACCGTTACTTTACCATTTTCATCTGCTAGAATCAAAATACTTGGTGTTTCGGAGATTGCCCTTCTTCCTAATTCTTGACCTGATACTTCAATTGTCAAATCTTCATCTATGACAAAGCTATTGACTGTATTATCTTCTTTAGGCAAACTCTCATCAATGACAGGATGTTCAGAATCATCGATAGTAGTAGGTGTTTCCGTATTTTCAGTTACTTCACCCGTCGGTTCCTGAGTACCTTCAGACAATACTTCATCTTTCTGTATCTCACCTGGATTTGTGGTTTCTACAGGAGTTTCTATTGTAGACGGTTGATCAGGTTCCTGATTGATGACTTTAACTTTGGGTTTATTATTTGATTGATTTTTACTAATACCACAAAGATTTTTAGCCTTAGATTCGGCAGCAGCACTTCCTAGATTCATCGCTGTTTCATAATCTTTACATGCTTTTAATAACTGTCCTTCATTCTCTAAAATTGCGGCACGCCACTCGTAAAAATCTGCATTTTTATCATCCAAAGATATAGCCGCTGTCAAACAATTGATAGCTGCATTGGCATCGTTCATAGCTGCAAAAGACCTACCAAGTAAGCCTGCTGACTCTGCACTGATACCATTGACTTCAATAAATTGCATTGCGTCCATTTTAGCCCCTTTATAAGCAGCTAAGGCATATTTAGCCAATCCTCTTTTTATCAAAGCATTTTTGTATTTTGGATCTTTCGCTATCACTGCATTATATTGCGTAATGGCTTCATCATATCTTCCTGTTTCAAAAAGATACTCAGCTTTGACAAAAATAAATCCTGTCTCTTCATCTAATACTTGAGCCTGAAGAACTGAAGACAACAATAATATCGAAGTCAACACATTTAAAATACGGATATTCATGGTTTCACTGGTTTGTTATGATATAAAGACAAAAATACATATATTATTGTTAGTTAAGAAAAGTTTAATATTTTAATAACAATAAAATATAAGCTCAAAAGCTATAAAATCTTAGATTTACTTTTTCTTTACTTCTTTCTTTTTGACTTCCTTTTTCTTAAATGCATCAGGAATTTCTGCTTCTATCCAAGACTTCACTACATCTAGGCTTACAGTTTGTAGGTAATCTGCTTCTACCTTTTCACCATTTACCTTTGGAACTTTTAGGTTATTTTTACCAAACTTGATGTATGGGCCCCATCTTCCATTTTCAATAGAAACTTTATCAGCAGGCCAATTTTGAATATATCTATTGGCTTCTTTTTCCACTTTTATATCAATGATTTCAATGGCTTGTTCTGATGTGATGGTATCTATTTTATACCTAGCTGGGATAGGAACAAAAATATCGTTCCACTTCACATATGGACCGAATCTGCCTTTCCCTTTGGTGATTGGTAGGTTTTTATAATGCCCAATGGGTGCGTTTTCATCCATTTTGGCATCAATAAGTGTTGTCGCTTCTTCTATAGAAATCGACATCGGATCAAGATTACGCGGTAGGTTTACAAAAAGCTCACCAACTTTGACGTATGGTCCATATCTACCTGTATTCACTATAATTTCTTCTCCTTTGTAATCACCTATTGTTCTTGGTAACTTAAACAACTCCATTGCCTCTTCAAACGTTATCGTCTCAAGAGACTGACCAGGCTTAAGGTTTGCATATCTTGGTTTTTCACCTTCCTTCACTTCTTCTCTTTCACCTATTTGGATGACCGGACCGAATCTTGTCATCTGCGCAATGACAGAATATCCGGATGCTTCGTCTACACCTAGTTCTCTTTTCCCCTTTGCTCTTTCAGCAGTTTCCATGGTTTTTTCCACATTATCATGAAAAGGACCATAGAAATTTTTGAGCATTCCCTTCCAATCAACACCATCCGTTGCTATTTTGTCCAATTCATCTTCTACCCTTGCCGTAAAACTGTAATTCATAACTTGATCAAAATGTTCTGACAAGAAATCAACCACAACCATACCTAAATCTGATGGATAAAGACAATTTTTAGTGGCACCTGTCATTTCAGACTTGGTTTCAGATTTGATACTACCGGCGTGCAGTTTCATATATCTGTATGCACGAGCCATACCTTCACGACTCTCTTTGGTAACGTAACCACGCTCTTCTTCCATTATTTTCGTAATGGTAGGAGCGTAAGTAGAAGGTCTACCTATACCAAGTTCTTCAAGTTTTTTGACCAAACTTGCTTCCGTATATCTTGATGGTGGTCGAGTAAAACTCTCTACTGACTCCATATAATCTAAGGCAAGATTTTGTCCTTGTTTTAATGGTGGAAGCATACCTTTTGTGTCTTCATCTTCATCGTCATCCGTAGATTCAAGATATACTTTTAAGAATCCATCAAACGTTAAAACTTCACCAACTGCTTCAAGTTGTTTGTCCTTCATGGTAGAAATATCTATCTTTACGATCGTCTTTTCTATTTCTGCTTCAGACATTTGACTCGCTATCGTACGCTTCCATATCAAGTCATAGAGTCTCATTTGATCTCTATCTGGTCCAATATTTTTGCGCTCTATATAGGTAGGTCTGATAGCTTCGTGTGCTTCTTGTGCATTTGCTGTTTTTGACTTATACTTCCTTACGTGAAGATAATTTTTACCATAACTTGATTCTATTTCTGCTGCAATAGCTGCCACTGCGGTATCACTTAAATTGGAAGAATCTGTTCTCATATACGTAATGAGACCTTCTTCATATAGTCGTTGAGCAGTGGACATTGTCCTATTTACAGAAAAACCCAACTTTCTACTCGCTTCTTGTTGCAAGGTCGATGTTGTAAAAGGTGGAGCAGGAAACCGTTTAAGTGGTTTTTTCTCTATGCTATTAATATTAAAATCTGCACCATTACATTTGTCCAAAAACGATTTAGCATCTTCTACATTATCAATTCTCGTGGTGTATTCCGCTTTGAGTGCTACTTTTTCACCTCTGCCATTATCTACTTGAAATATTGCAGTGATTTTGAAAAACGGTGTAGAATTAAAGTTTTGGATTTCTCTTTCTCTCTCAACGATAAGTTTTACTGCCACAGATTGCACCCTACCTGCTGACAATTTATTTTTTACTTTTCTCCAAAGTACCTCTGACAATTCAAATCCCACTAGTCTGTCGAGAATTCTACGAGCTTGCTGAGCATTGACTAAGTCAATATCAACAGTACGTGGGTTTGCTACTGCTCTTTGTATGGCCGGTTTGGTGATTTCAGAGAAAACAATCCGTTTTGTTGTCTTCTCATTCAGTCCAAGCTCCTTGCACAAATGCCAAGAAATGGCTTCTCCCTCTCGGTCCTCGTCCGTCGCAAGCCAGACTTCTGTTGCTTTTTTGACATGCTCTTTAAGTTCTCTTACGACTTTGGTTTTTTCGGGTGATACGACGTAAGATGGCTCAAAATTATTGGCAATGTCTATTCCTCTATTTCCCTTTTCTAGATCTCTGATGTGACCGTAACTAGACTTAACGGTAAAATCTGATCCGAGAATTTTTTCTATTGTTTTGGCTTTCGCCGGGGACTCCACTATGAGTAAGTTTTTCGCCATTTGGACAAACTTTATTAATTATTTAGCAAGGATAATACAGACAAAAAATGCGAAACGCTATAAAAATAGTTAATTCGATTTATCATCCAAAAAAGAAAAAACCATCATAAAACTACAATTGGCCATTCCTTTAAAAGTGCAAAACTATGAATTTTTAATATTTATTACGATATATTTACATATTTATAGAAAATCATCTTACCAAAATGGATCACAGGTTCCATTATAGTTTGCAGCAATTTGGGTTTTGTGATACTTTTTTCATCCAAATCTAGTATAAAATTTATACCTACAACAAGTCTGGCCTTTTTTCTGTCGTTATTCTTAAAGCTTCTTCGTACCTCCATTCATCTATTTTTCTTTCATGACCTGACAATAATATCTCAGGCACTTTATGGCCTTTGAAATCTGCAGGTCTAGTATAAACAGGTGGTGCCAATAGGTTATCTTGGAATGAATCGGTCAGGGCGCTCGTCTCGTCATTGAGTACTCCTGGAATTAATCTCCCAATGGCGTCCACCACTACTGCTGCTGCCAATTCTCCACCTGAGAGTACATAATCTCCTATGGACAACTCCATAGTGACGTGCATGTCTCTAATTCGTTGGTCAATACCTTTATAATGACCGCAAATGATCATAAGATTTTCAAAACAAGAAAGTCTATTGGCTATTTTTTGGTTAAAAGTCTGTCCGTCAGGTGTCATATAGATTACTTGGTCATAAGTCCGCTCTGACTTTAATGAAGTAATACATGTATCTAGTGGTTCACACATCATCACCATACCTGCGCCACCACCAAACTGGTAGTCATCTACTTGTTTATGTATACCAAGTCCAAAATTTCTGAGTTGGATGACATTGATATCGAGCAAACCCTTGTCACCTGCTCGTTTCATGATAGAATGTTCAAACGGACTCCTTAGCAATTCAGGCACAACCGTGATGATATCAATATGCATAATGGAGTTTTAATGCGATAATTTGAATTCAATGACTTACCAAGTTCCAATTAGTAGAATCGGCCCGATTAAATCAATGAATTAACAAAACAAAAATTGATTATAAATTTCCTACTTTTTTAATTCAGCATAATATTTATAGAAATGCGGAATGGTCTCAATGCCTTTATAAAAATTGAACACACCATAATGCTCATTTGGAGAGTGGATATCATCTGAATCCAAACCAAAGCCCATTAATACAGTCTTCACATTCAATACTTTCTCAAACAATGCTACGATTGGAATACTGCCTCCACCTCTTACTG